TTAAAATTACTGCATGTTGAATACCATTGCTGAAAACATTAACAATCATTCTCCCTAATCTGCCTTTAACAGTACAAAGCAGCCTAGAAAATTCCCCATTATTCAATTATTGTCCAATTATTTTGGACAGATAATTCATACAAAACATATATATATAATAAAGTTTCAGAGAATCATTCTGTTACTAAGCAAATGGACAGATTTAGTTAACTATCTTAATAATTGTGATGGAGATTTATGAGATGCCACACAGGTTCTGAAACTGTTCTACAATCTATAATCTAAAATTAAAGGTCCACATAGTAGAAAGATTGCAAAACAACTGAAAATGTCTGTATCGTATTTTGCAATGTATGGATACAATGGAAACTAAGACCCCCTTGATCTAAAAAGTCACAACACATATTATTTTCATAATATTCATTCACATATATTATACATTTTACTCCCTAAAATTTACCAGTTAAAAAGACCCTTAACAGCCGCGTATCAATTAGGGAAAATCTTGAAGCTATTAAGACCAGTCTTACATTATTTAATTTTGAGCACACAACTTTTCTCAGTGGTGGGAGACTTTTAGACCAACATATTTTTCCATATTTATAATTATTACATTAATATTACATTAATAATATATAGTATTATTTTTACATGTAGCATAGATCTGGCCTGAAAATGCCAAGATCACCATGAGGGCATAGGAAAAAGCTTTTTGTAATAGCTTTTATTATTCAGTGAACAGAAATCAATCTTCTGGAGAAAGCAAATATTGCCAGCTGCTTTGGACAAATAATTCATTAAAAAGGTAGGCAGAAACAGAAAGTACACAAAGTAACTTTATTGAAATAAAAGAATATTTTGTTGTAGCATAATGATTACTATTCATGAAATGAACTGAGAAGAATATATCTCATCAGGCATACAACTCCTAATCAGTTATGAAAAGAAAAATAGATGTTTATTACCAAGACGGGGAAAAAGTCCTTATTAATGCTGTTTTTAAATAGCATGAAATTATTTTATTTTAATTAAAATAGCATATAATTTATTGCTATGTCCTATTAGACATTTTTAAAAGCCTTTTAAATAAGCTGTTGATTTTTACAAAATCCTATAATGCAGATTTTAATTATCATTCCAAACAAAACTGTTTTATTATCAAAACCCACTCTGCTATAAAACTGTAAACAGTGGGGGTGTTTCTTCATAATTACCCAAGGAATATTATATTATGGGATATAGAGTGTGAATATCATTGAGATATTATAGTAGACATAATCCTGTATTGGGGAGTACTATTGTGGGATAGTATAGTACTGGCATAGTGTGAAATCTATATTTATGTGTGGGATGCCCATCATTGGTAACCTATGATCATATCATTAACAGTGTAAATACATTTATACTGATCTGCACAATATTTCAGAAAAGCAATAAACACACACGTTTATTTTAATATATTTATTATAACAAAAATAATTCTCTTTCATATTAATCTACTATTTTACACAAATAATTACAACGGGTTTTTAAATTTGCCTTTCGATATAAAAACAAAACAAATTTGAACAGCTACTTAACAGCATAAATGTTCAGAAGTAGAATTTGTTGCTCAACTGTTAAGAAACTTAAGAAATCTTTGGGGAATACAAACAGCAAATACTTAATGCAACAGAAGTAATAATACTAATTTTAATTTCAAAATTAAATCATCACATTTCAGAAGATAATCAAAATTCAATGTTAGCACACACACACACAAAAAGTTTGAGTCCAGTGAAAAGTTCAAGAGTGTAAATGTTCCACAATTTATTCCCAGCCTCATGTATATTCTATTAAATCATAAAGAAAAAGTGAAGCTACTTTCAAAAAGACTGAGACCTACAGTATATCTTTAGTTCAATTTTAAATGGACAAGGTCAGAATCTTTAATCTGAAAATATCTAAATAACAAGTTAACCTTTGTGTAACACTGTGAGATGATAAACAAGAGTACAGCAATACAGCTGATCACATAACATACAAAATATGGAATGTAGCTGAATCCAAGGGGCACTAGAAAAGAGAGGACTCTTTCAAGGGCCATATCTGAATGTGGGCAGAAATAACCCCGTGAAGGGTTATGTAGAAGTGGGAAATGCAGCATGTCTTTCTGAAATGTCCTTTTCTTAACGTTAGCTTTATTTTGCATCAATCCTGAGACTGCAGTGCTCTACGTGTGGAATTTACAAGGCAGAATAAAAATACAAATAGGCCTCAACATTGCAGGCCAGGTGCACAAGAAACTTTTGGAAAGTCACAGTCTATTTAAGCATCTCTAATGGTAGCAACTGTTCCTGGACTAACATGATGGAAATCTTATTCATCAACAGCCAGCAAAATGAAATGCAATGTGAATATGCATCCCTCCATTATGTTTTCCCCTCCTGTTCTTCCCAAATTAACATATCTCACGTATTCATTCATACATGCCTGTTCTTACATGGCAGAGATGCTTCAAAAAAAGCTTCCACGGCTATCAATATTTCAAAATAAGCCAGATTACTAATTTTCTAAAAGGGATTTGAATACCTCCTCAGCAGCAACTCTATTTCAAAAATGTTTCCCACACAAAGGACTTTTCAAATACGCCACAAAGAAGCTATTTGAAAGCCTTGAAAAGAAGAGGAACAGCTATTAGCTCCAATTTGGTGCTGCTAAAAGTAAGATTTTTCCTTTTGATTGGGACAACAGATAGGAAAGTAGTTGGAAAGGATCAAGGATTTTGGAGAAGAAACCAAGAGCCTTCTAATATGGCTCGAGTCTACACTATATTATGGGACCAAAGATATTCAAATCATTTAATGATGATAAATTATTTATTTTTAATAGAAATAAAGGAATTGGCCTGTAAAATATAAATTGCTATGTGTGTGTCAACTAAGTGTTTTCCAGTATTTAGGGCTATAAATAATGTCTGGAATTGCTTACTGATATTTATATGAACTGTAGCACCTTTGGTTCCAAACACTTTTGGAACATATCCCACTATTTACCTCAAACTCTTCAGAAATTTCAGTAATATGCAGCACTATATTAAGCAAAATTAACAAGTTAAGAAATTATATGTTTTCTAAAGAGCTAAACATTAATTTAGAGAAGAGAGGGTAAAATAACATCCAAACAAACTCAATGATTTAGGAAGACCTACTAGAATACTGTCGTCTTTTATTTGAAGAGATTTTGAACTATTTGCATTAGTAAACCAAAGAATGTCAAATAGCTGTAAATATTATAAAAACAGAATATTTGTCACTACAAGGTGAACAAGTGAAGTAAGAATTTGTTACCCCTTAGCTAAGCTATTCCTTTAAACAAAGATTGTTTCTGGAAAATGCAGATGTCTAGACTGCTGTAGGGATTCTACTTTTACTGACTCTGCATTTGACAACAATGCAACTCTGACCTTAAAGATTGTTGTCCATACTGTACTGAATCATTTGGAACAACAGGGAAAAAATGTCCAGTTTGGGTATAAATCAGAAGATTTGTTTGTGGACAAAGGATTTTCTGACAGATAAGTCAGTAAGGAAGGGATTTCACCATTCTTCTACTCTGATAGTAAGCACAGGAGCTCCCCAGGGTTGTGTGCTAAGCCCCTTCTTTTATTCTTTGTACATATATGACTGCACCCCATTGTAAACACCAACACAATTATTAAATTTGTGGATGACATGACAGTGGTGGGGCTCATTAATAAGAACAATGAGTCTGCTTATACAAAGGAATTAGAAGGGCTGACACTAAGGTGTAAAGAAAATAATCTTGCACTTAACACCAAAAAAACTAAAGAACTTATAATTGACTTCAGGAGGAAGAGAGATGTACATTTACCATTGTACATAAATGGGGAGGAGGTGGAGAGGGTTAGTAGTTTTAAATTTCTAGCCACTTATAACTTGGAGGACCTCTCATGGACTATGAATGCTAACATGCTTTTAATGAAGGCTCAGGAAGATAAATCTATCTCAGTATCTACTTCTGTCCTACTACTACAGCACCATAGAGAGTGTCCTGACATATTCCATTCTTGTATGGTATGGGGGCAGCTCTTTAGCAGACAAAAAAGCTCTACAGAGAATCATTTAAACTGCCCAGAATATCATTGGGTGCCAACTACCAGCCCTGGATGACATCTTCACATCTCGCTGTTTGAGGAAGTTGCACAACTTTCTCAGAGACTCTTCCCATTGTGCTTACTATCTTTATGAACTGTTGCCTTCTGGCAGAAGATACAGAACAATTGAAATTCGGACCACACATTTTCTGAATAGTTTTTATCCCAGAGCTATAATTGCACTTAACAATGAACTTAAGGACCACCATCAGTGAGCTGTTGGACAGTATTACTTGGTGTGTTGTGTGGATGCTTGTGTGTTTTTAGGAGGCAGGGAAATTTGGTGGGTGGGGAGGTGTTTGGGGATTGTCATGTGTGTGTGCATGTTGAGTCTGGTTTCTGGGTGTTATGTGAATTTCATTGTATGTATACTGTGTAAAAGAATTAAATTCAATTCAATAAAGATAAAAGTTGAGAGCAGAAAATATAATAAAAGTAAAAAAAATGTAATATTTGGAATAAACAGTTTTAACAGCATTCTGAACAAGACCCAAGAGTAACCTTCTATAGTATGTCATATTTTAAGTGGGGATATCCATTGGGGGAAGAGTGGGAGGAGGGATAAAATAGTTTGCATTCACACAATTGCACTGCATATTAAACAAAAAAAGGCTAGTGGAACTTTGATCATATAATCATGGTGACCATTACAACTTTCTAAAAATTCTGCCTGCAGATGCCTCTGATTTAAGCATCTATTGCAACATCTTGAATATATATTAATTAATTCAAGACAATTTTATAATTTCTATATACAGGAAATTCAGAGCAGAGTGACTGTTTTACACTGTTCCATTATTTAAAATGAAAATTACCTTACTCATAAGCCATTTTTAATACTGTATTTAGCATTGTCCAGTAGTTATCACTGTGTCGCTTTAATCGAGACACACATCATTTTACTGTAAAAGTCATAGTTTGCAGTCTCATTTTAAACAAGATTTAGAAACTAATGATATGCATTTCCAACACCCCATTATGGAGAGCAAGTGTATTAATTTTTTTAGCACTTCACTTTTTTTTACTCAAGATTGAAACTCAACAGAAGGGACATTATATATTCTTGCCTTAATAACATTTTATCTTGACCTCTACTTATCTACATTGCAAGATGTAGATACAATGTGCCATCATGTGGGAAATGGTAAACATAAAACTAAGAGGAAATAATAGTTTTTTGTTAATCTAATACAGCCAACATTTTTCCATTATTAAATTAACATGTTTGTGTAAATGACTGTGATAGATACTTTCTGGGAAAACACTAATAGTAAGGCAGAGACATTCTTAGAAGATATGTGAGATACATTTATATTTTTTAAAAATGGCAAATTTCTATAAATACTTTATTAAAAAAATAATTTCCCCATTCAGTTTTATTAAAAAATAATTGTTTCTTAATTTGGTTATTCTGTGAGATTGATCACAATTTGCTGATCTATAAGGTTCTTCAAAAGTCTTTGCTCTGCATCAATATCATGGTATTCATTCTGTAAAGAACAATAAAAGAATATAAAACTCAAAAATATAAAAAATTTGCAACTTTTTTTTTTTTGCAGCAGCAGTCACTATTTATTTATTTTATTTCCGTAGCACCCATCTCAGCAAATTATTCTGGACAGCTCACAAGTCAGAAATGTGCAACTATAATCAAAATGCATTTTAAAACAACAAAAACAATTAAAGCAATTAAAACACTAAAAAATGTTAAAGCGTCTAATGTGAATACATACAAAGTAAGACATCAGGCCTGTTAAAAATATAGCCGGGAGGCAGGGCCGATACGTGTAGCGCCCCAGGCTTAGGAGCACAGTCAGGTCTTTAAAGCTTTACGGAAGGCTAACAGGTTTGGTTGCTGTTTAAAGGCCTGGCTGCTCTTTAGATGGCCAGATCCTGAAAATGAAACTGAAATACTTTGGCCACCTAATAAGAAGGAAGGACTCACTGGAGAAGAGCCTAATGCCTGGAAAGATTGAGGGCAAAAGAAGAAGGGGATAACAGAGAATGAGGTGGCTGGATGGAATCACTGAAGCAGTCAGGATGAGCTTAAATGGACTCTGGGAGATGGTAGAGGACAGGAAGGCCTGGAGGAATGTTGTCCATGAGGTCGCAATGAGTCGGACACAGCTTTGCAACTAACAACAACAAACAGGCTTGGGGACATTTTAATCTATGAAGAGAGGATGTTCCACAGAGTAGGGGCTGCTGAAGGAAAAGCTCCTCTTCTAGTCCCTGTCATATGATGTTTTTGGCTGACAGGATCTGTAGCATTACATGAATATGGCAGTCATTAAGTGAACCCAGTGTTAGTGGTGGTCCTAAAATGGCCACCACGAAGACGAAAAATAGTCCGGGAACAAAGGCTGTGCTGGAGTGGAGAAGCAGCAAGTGGAGTGTGAACCAGGCAAAACATTTTGAGGCATCCCGGTATTAAAAAATAAAGGACTATTTTGGAGAAAAGTGTGTGGAAGCGGAGACCAAAGAAAGTGAGAAGGAAATTGGATTTTATAAAATTGGCTTGAATTATTGTTTTGGATTAACTTGGAGGAGAAAATTTAAAAGAAAATATTTGAACACAACAAAGGTTTAGAAATTAAACTGGACAAATATTGGATTATTGGCACTTAAAGGGCATAACTAAATGCTGGAATTGAGCGTGTTGAAAAGAAAAGAAATAATAGCTAATGACTGAAATTAGCTAACTTAATAAAAATACTATATTTAACAAATAAAGTTAAAGTTAAGGAAGGAGTGGATTGTGGAAAAGACTCAAGAGCGCTACCTGATGGTACAGGAAAATTTTTAGTGACTCTTTAAAAAGTGCTTGGTCTTTCTAAGAAATTGGACTTTGGAACTTAAAAGGAAGTAAAAGAAACTCCATTATAATAAAATAAAAACCCTGGAAAGCGATATTAGAATATTACAAAGGGGAAGATATTTGAAAATATTGTCATAGAACCATCCGGTGACTGTGGGAAACAGTTGGGAAAGGGCCAATTAGAAGACCTGGAGCAAAGACTTAAGGGCATTGATTGTTGAAAATAAACTTAAAAGACACTGGCTGAAATAATATACTGGACTTTGGGATTGAATACATCTATCAAGGAAGAGGAAAGAGAAAAGGAAAAAAGGAGAAGATATAATGGAGGAATTATTTGTTGATATAAGATTGGACTTGCAAGATATAAGGGAAATGAAGAAAATTAAACTTGAAATGTGCAATTATGTATTACAGAAATTAGAAATGGCGACTCAGCTTGTAGAAGAACAAAGAAAACCAAAGGGGGAAGAGTTTAACAAAGAAGAAGCCAGCTTTGAAGAACAAATTATTTAAGCAGGGGGGGAAAGGGATTAAAATTAAAAAATTGTGGTCTGATGTGATAACAAAAGGGAGAATGGTTCGGAAAATGAAAAAAGGAGAGGGGAAAAGCAGAAAAGGGAAGTACAAAAGAAAAATTGAACGAGGGAGATAAACTTAATAATTGGAATGAGAAATGGAGGGGAATAAGAATGGGGATAAGAATGGGGAAAAAGGGAATTAAGAGAGGACCAGAAAATAAAGAGAAACAGGAAGCAAGCAAGGATGAAAAGGAATTACATTGATAGAAGAGCGAGAGATAATGGGTGAAAAAAAAGATACGGAAGGAAATTCTGCAAGATAATATGTTGTGATATGTAAGAAGTACTGAAAATAAATAAGTATGTAAGTGATATGGGCGGGGGGGGGGGTTAGTCTCTTTCTTTCTCTGTTTTTATTAAAGGATTATTGCTACATTAGACATGGAACTTAATGAAATAAATATGGAAATGGAAATTTATAATAAGAATATTATATATTAACTGATGATTAGCGATGTAAAAAAAAGTGATGTAATCAGAACCATTATGGAAAAATTAATATCAGTTGCTATAATTAATTGATTAGATTAATACTTTTGTAATGTACAGATAACTTATAAGGATTTTGAGAAAATGTAATGCGGAATCTGACTCTCTCTTTGTTTTCCAGCAAAGACATTATAAATTGCATTTCTGTGACCACGGAAGGGTTAGGGTTCATCATGTTCAAACTATGTTTTCAGAGCTTGACTTGTTGACTCTAAATAAAGCAGTTTATTGGCATGCTAACTCTAATAAGAGAGAACAATAATCATCACACTGAATTATTACCAATGATAGCTCAGAGTGGTTCTGTCTCCTAAACTTCTTTTATGTATTGCAGCTCCCCCCACATCCAAAGCTGGAGATAAAGCCTTGACGACTGTATGAAGGAAGAGGTGAATATCTAGTAACAGATCCCCAGAAAATGCTTTCTGCTACTACAAACTGACATTTGATACAACCCGGTGAAAAAGAAATACACTGCATACATATAAAAGTTTCTAAAAAAAAAATAGGGTTATTACCTTAATCATCAAAGACATGGTGTCATTACCATAATAGTGCAAAGAACTGCCCGGATCCTGCAGGTTGTACTTGAAGCCAGCCACGTGAACTTCAGTACATATATCAAAGGCAAAGGCAATGGCAATTAACCCTGTTGTGGGATGTTTTGGTCTCTGAAAAAAATCAAATTATAAATATATTTGATTTGCAAACAGATTCACGTATGCCAAACACATTTGCATTTGGAAGAAATATGGCAAATTCTATACCAATGTCTGTCTGCTTATCTATTTAGTGTTGATTATAGTAAATCAAGAACAGGTAATCCCTTTGATGGATAGATACTATATTTCTTCTGAGGCTTAGACCAAAATAGGGAACGTATTACTAAATCAATACTAAATCAATGGAGGCTCATTATGTAGTCGATTGACTAATTGCCTATTTAGAACACAGGTATGTGAGAGGGAAAGAGACTAGGCGTTTGTTTTTAATATGCTTCAGTCCTTGATACCTACACAACACTTTTTATATGGTTGTTATTTCAAAATGGTAAAAGATTTCGATTTGGTAAGCCTTTGGAGGCCACAAAAGACAAGGAATGAAATGCTGCAGATTTTGTTCCCCTAGAGAACATAGAGATAAATGCAGACTTGTGCCTAAAACAACTGCTTCTGTGGAAGTCTCAATGAAGTGCAATTGTTGGGCGTTTCCAACTTTGCTTACAATAACTGTTAGTCAGCATAGCTGAGATGACTCCAGAAGAGCTTTCTGGGCTTTGACACCTTTCCCAGACTACTGTCTCTTTTAAGTGCCTTCAACGGTTTTCCCGTTTGCCTTGTTAATATCAGTGTCACCTGGCCAACTGTCTTTATTGTTGCTGCAGCTTTCATTATTTTTGCACAACGTGAAGGAACTTGCTTGCTGATCTGTGAAGCCCTACTGCTATTCCAGGTCCTTCCAGGGTAACAATCTCTGCTAGATGCTCAGGCATCGCTATAACTAAGCTGCAACAGCCTAGATACTCAGTGGTCTTTTCCTTTCTCAGCCTAATCTAATGGATATGATAGTAAAGAAAAAGGGGTTGAAGAAAAATGTAAAAAGAAGCATATTTTAACATGAAAAAAATAATATCCTAATCTTGAATCAGCAGATTCTGAAGCCGTACTTGGTTGTTTTTCACTCTGTCTTTTCCAGGGAAGAAGGGTATCAGCCCTCTAAATAGGGCTACCTCATCTAGGCTGAAAAAAAAAAACAGCAGAAAATTTGGTTGAAGAATCCATGTTGCCTGGATTACTTTGCAGATTTTTTTAAAAATGTGGAAAAAAAACATTACTTATACACCGTAGTCCCAATTTTATGTTCAATTTTAGGATAGTGATACAGTGGAACAATTTTAGAAGAGGGATATCAAAGATGGTGAGGGCTCTAGAAACAAAACCCTATGAGGAAAGGCTAAAAGGCTTGTGTAAATTTAGCCTACAGAAGAGGAAATTAAGGGCAATATAGACATCTTTAGCTGTTTCAAGGTTGTGGCACAGTAAAGTGAACAGGGACTGTCTATTATTTCAAAACCAATATTATTAGGACCCAGATTCAAGCCAGGTTTCAGAAAGAACTTTTTGACATAAACTACCAACTAGTAGAATAGCTTGCTACATGGAATGATGAATCCTATTTTGTTTGGTTGTCTTCATACAGAAGAAGTCCGATGGTCATCTGTAGTAGATTCTGCACTAAGCAGTATCTTGGACTAGGTAACCTGCTTACTAAGATTCACAAGCTGACTAAAGACAGTGGAAAAGCATTAAGATTATCTGCCTGCTCTAAATGATCTGTAACCACCAGTTATAGTTTTTCTATTAAGCAGAACAGTAGCACTATTTATTTTAAGAGCTGATTCAGAACACTGAGTTCACATAAATGAAAAAACAAACAAACATCAATTGATAAGATTCCTTGATTCTACTTTTAAAGTAGACAATTATCATTTAATATGGATTGCTCAGATATGCCAGGTACCAGTAGATTGCCTCAGCTTAATAAAATCAGAACTATTAAGAAGAATGTAAAACTTGTATTTATTCATTTGTAATTGAAGCTAAATATTAAGATATGGGACTATTGCCTAAGGGCACAGTTATTGCTATTGATTTGGGTATGTTACTATAGGCCAATAATAATAATGGTTACAATTTTTATTGGACAATAAATGAAACTAAAATGTATAAAATTGCAACTACAAAAATATTTGTTAGTATCAAATTAATTGATCCTTAAAGTTCAGTTCATTTTTAAAATTCTACAACCATATCATTTCAAATGAAAACACTTATGTAAAATAAATAATCCAAACCAACATTTAAAAATACAAATACGCACTTTTCAGCGATTCCCAATTTTTTTTTAAAACTAAAAGTTTCTGCAGTCTGAAAGTGCTTGAAACCTTCTGCTTTAAATAACAAAAGCTCTATTAAATTATAACTGTATATTTATTATATATATATATTATATATTACATTACAATTATTGTTCAAAGTTCTAATGAAAAACCAATGAGATGTCTAAACATCAAAAAGAAATCTCAAGTTAAATTATCTTGAGCCAATATCTCACACTTTCCTTCAGCCTACTCAATTTCTCATGATTAAGAGGATAGGATAAAAATAATATGCACCATTCTCAACTCTTGGGAGATAAAAAAACAATATAGAAATATAGTAATGTCCTAATTTTGTTGTAATAGATAATCTATAAGAAGCTTTGTTATTCAGTATTGACGATTACAATTTCTTAGCCAATATTATTCAAATTGTCATAGTAAAATACTTACTCCTCGTCTAGGAAATTTTCTGGGGAAACGAAGCAATTCATATGCTGTCCTTTTAATAATAAATGGATCAAGGATTCTGATTTGGTTAGGCTTATAAATCATTTTCATTGCTGGTTTCTTCCAGAAGACATTAGTTGCCTATGGACAAAAAGCATGCCTTTAAGAGGTGAAAGATGTACTTCCATAACAAACGAAAACGTGGCATTGTAAAGGAAAGAAATATCATACAAACTAGTTCTAAAAAAAAAGCAATAGTCATGTTTTCTGCTTCATATTGAAAACAGTGAAAACATACCCTGATTACATTAAGGAAATGATAATGAACTTTATAAATGAGAAAACAAATTAACAATATGATTTTTCATTAAGGCAGTGCTGATCAGAAATGGAATCCTACAAAACTGAGAAAAAATCTTCCCTAAAAACTGTAAGTATCAATTTAAAAAGTTCTCCAAATTGGCAATTTCCCCCTAAATGCAGAATCTGTCCAGTATCACTGACAACCCACTACAATTGGGAAATTTATGTCTCTAAATCCGACAATTAAACTCGTAATGGTGGTTCTACACAGCATTTATACAACATATTAAATGGCACTGTCAACTCTTGAAATGACTTTAACTGAAGCCATATTCTCTTCTCTTCATTTCTCAGTTGCCACAGATTGGGGGGGAGGGGGGGGGGGCAATAGAATGTAGAATATTTTCTTCTAATATTCCAGACATAACAGCAATAGGGCTCGTGGGAAGCAAGGTCATCTAAATGAGCATTTATAACAGCCGGAGGGAGTAGCTGGAAAGTCTGCCACATGGAGAATATCTATTCTTTTAATTATACCAAACCACAGGAAATATTTAGAGTTGGATTCACACCTGAAAGTGCCAATAAAATATAGCCAATAAAGGAGATCTTTGAGAAAAGCTACAGCCTCAGAGTCCTGAATTGATTGGGATCATTATTCAGAACCATGATAGGCATCCCCTACATCCCAATCAATCAACTCTCAATCACTCTTCTGCAACACACCATATAACCCATATAGAAATCAATCTTGGGAGTGTTCATTAGAAGAGCTCACTATCCCATTAACATACAGGTGAAACTCGAAAAATTAGAATACCATGCAAAAGTTCATTTATTTCAGTAATGCAACTTAAAAGGTGAACTTAATATATGAGATAGACTCATTACATGCAAAGCAAGATAGTTCAAGCTGTAATGTGTCATAATTGAGATGATTATGGCTTACAGCTCATGAAAACCCCAAATCCACAATCTCAGAAAATTAGAATATTGTGAAAGGGTTCAATATTCTAGGCTCAAAGTGTCCCACTCTAATCAGCTAATTAAGCCATAACACCTGCAAAGGGTTCCTGAGCCTTTAAATGGTCTCTCAGTCTGGTTCAGTAGGAAGCACAATCATGGGAAAGACTGCTGACCTGACAGTTGTGCAGAAAACCATCATTGACACCCTCCATAAGGAGGGAAAGCCTCAAAAGGTAATTGCAAAAGAAGTTGGATGTTCCCAAAGTGCTGTATCAAAGCACATTAATAGAAAGTTTTGTGGAAGGGAAAAGTGTGGAAGAAAAAGGTGTTCAAGCAGCAGGGATGACCGCAGCCTGGAGAGGATTGTCAGGAAAAGGCCATTCAAAAGTGTTGGGGACTTTCACAAGGAGTGGACTGAGGCTGGAGTCAGTGCATCAAGAGCCACCACACACAGACAGATCCTGGACATGGGCTTCAAATGTTGTATTCCTCTTGTCAAGTCACTCCTGAATAACAAACAGAAGCATCTTACCTGGGCTAAAGAAAAACAGAACTGGTCTGTTGCTCAGTGGTCCAAAGTCCTCTTTTCTGATGAGAGCAACTTTTGCATCTCATTTGGAAACCAAGGACCCAGAGTCTGGAGGAAGAATGGAGAGGCACACACTGCAAGGATGCTTGAAGTCCAGTGTGAAGTTTCCACAGTCTTGTTGATTTGGGGAGCCATGTCATCTGCTGGTGTTGGTCCACTGTGCTTCATTAAGTCCAGGGTCAACGCGGCTGTCTACCAGCAGATTTTGGAGCACTTCATGCTTTCTTCCGCAGATGAGCTTTATGGGGATGCCGACTTCATTTTCCAGCAGGACTTGGCACCTGCCCACACTGCCAAAAGCACCAAAACCTACTTCAATGACCGTGGGATTACTGTGCTTGATTGGCCAGCAAACTTGCCTGACCTGAATCTATGGGGCATTGCCAAGAGAAAGATGAGAGACATGAGACCGAACAAGAAGAGCTGAAGGCTGCAATTGAAGCATCCTATCTTCCATAACACCTCAGCAGTGCCACAGGCTGATAGCTTCCATGACATGCCGCATTGAGGCAGTAATTGCTACCAAAGGGACCCAAATCAAGTACTGAGCACATATGCATGCTTATACTTTTCAGAGGCCCAACATTGTTCTATGTACAATCCTTGTTTTATTGATTGCATGTAATATTCTAATTTTCTGAGATTGTGGATTTGGGGTTTTCATGAGCTGTAAGCCATAATCATCACAATTATGACAAATTGTGGCTTGAACTATCTTGCTTTGCATGTAATGAGTCTATCTCATATATTAGTTTCACCTTTTAAGTTGCATTACTGGAATAAATGAACTTTTGCACGATATTCTAATTTTTCGAGTTTCACCTGTACTCTGTCACTGATGTCACTGAAAGTCAAAAATACATTCCAAAAGTACCAACCTAAAAGAGATCATTTTTACTTAGGATAATTCCCCGTGGTTGTATACAGCAGTATATAAATGAATATTACATTAAGCTTAGCTCCATGTTCTTGTGATTTAAGCATACTGTATGAGCAAACCAATCCTGCTGGGCCTCTTTATGGTAAAAAGAAGCAAGAGAAAATTTAAACACATTGTCACCGCACAGAACTTACCATTATATTGTGGCCACTTAATAGGTCTGAAAGCCATTTTAAGTCATGCCGTTTGAAGACAATAAAAACTGCAATAGTTTTAGGATCATAGTGAAGTGGATCTGAAAAAATTGACTCTGGATAGAAAAGCCGGTATGTTGTCTTCCTTCCAACGTCATTTTCATAACCTATAACAGGCCCATTATTCATTCTATTGAGGAAAAATATGATTAACAGTTATGAAAAATCCCTGTTTTATTTCTGAAGTACAACTTCAAAAGCAGAATGTTTCTTTTTTTTAAATAAAAGTTTTATTGTTTTTTAAGACAAACATAGACAAACACAACATAAAAACATCAAGCCATCTTCCATATATATACTGTACATACAGTGTGTCGGTTGGTTTACAAATTGTTTTGTGCTTCCACTTCAAAGTCTTCACTTACAATTACATTGTATATGTTCTTGTATTGTCAATCAAATATTCCAAAATACATTAATATAATTGTTAATCAATCATTTGACTATACTATTATTCATTCATGTTTTATAAGGTAATCCATATTTTACTTAATTTGTTTTATAGCAGTTCATATTATCATCTCAAATCTATACTATAATAATTTTGTAGATATAATAAAAATAATACATCTTTATATATTCATTATATTCTAAAAATCTACATATTTCATTACCATGTTTTATTGTCTAATCATTGATAGAATAGATCCCAAATCTTATAAAATTGTTTATCTTCTTGTTCTCTGATTTCAAATGTCAATCTACTCATTTCAGCACATTCCAATATTTTCTTAATAACTTCCTCCTGTGTTGGTATTTTCTCATTTTTCCAGTTTTTGGCAAATACTGTTGTTAATACATTTACAATCAAATATTTCAATTCCTTACTGTATATTTCAGGTAAAATTCCCAATAAAAATATATCTGGTTTCAAGTCTATATGCTTTTTTGTCATTTTTTCCAACCATGTGTGGATTTTAGTCCAATATTTTTTAGCATCCGCGCATGTCCACCACATATGATAATATGAGCCAGCAGAATTTGTTTCTCATACAGATTCAGTATGTGTATGATGCAAAATCTGGCAAGTCACTCGTCCTTGATTTAGTTTCTGTTTGCTTTCAGAAGAGTCAATATACAGATGAAGTCCTTCTGCAGAAATTTTTCAGAACCATGTAAACTATTCTGTAAGCTATTTGAGTGACAAAAACATAGAAATCTTCCCCTTCAACTATGATACAGGAATGTGGCAAGGGATGCAGTAGTTACATTTCCTCTGGTTTGCTACTTCTTCTTTAGCTTATCTGAAATAGCTGTACTTTCTCATAATTTCTTCCTAAAATATATGGAAAGTATTTAATATACAATCTTGAAGTTATTTCTCCTCAATAAACTTTTTTATTGTATTTTGCTTGACCTACCCCTTAAGATGAACTTTTTCCTACTGTATATTTCAGTTAAGTTACGCATTATAACCAAACTTATGAGTCTGATTATACCTTTAAGGCAACATCTGCTCATGAAAACATATCCCTATTAAACCTGGTTAATTCAGAAGGTATAGCCAGCCTTCGTGTTTACTATTTAGCTACAGACTGACTGAGTTCTGTACTTTGTTTGTAACTTTAAAAAAATTTAAAAATAAAACAGCAAAAAGTGGGCCAGGAAAGAACAACCTAGGATGTCGTCAAACATAAATGGATTACATTTAATAGGAGATATTCTACTTTGCATAATAAAGTATCAGTTCTTAAATTAATCCATAAATCTATTACACAGTATGCCATTACAGGTAGTTCTTGTTGTCAGGCATCAGAAGCCAGAAGCTAGGATAGAATTCAAAAGTACTGTGAGTTTATTTCATGCTGCCTATACAAGAATCTGTTTTACAAATTGTCAAGGCAAGCTTTCTACTAGATAAGAGTCAATGGAATTCATAGGCGCTGGACTTACCGTACTTTTTGGTGTATAAGACACACTTCCCCTCCCCAAAAGTGAGTGGAAATGTCTATGCACTTTATATAGTGAATGTTGCTGAAGCCCTGCCGACCCTCAGCCTTCGGCATCTGCCTCCCAGCAATTTGCTACCTTGCAGCAAATAGCAAACAGCCTGGTCAACTTCAGCACAGCCTGATTTAGTATGAGCAGCTGATTGCCGGTTGGATCTGCCATCCGGAATACCGATGATCAGCAGTTCCAGTCTGCAGAGATCACTACTGCCTATCACTGCCTCTGCACGCCCTGTTTTCGGCTTCTGCACGTCCCATTTTCGGCTTTCGTGCGCCCCATGGGATGCGGTGATAGGTGGTGGCGATCCCTGCAGGCTGGAACACCTGATTGTTGGTATTCCGAAAGGCAGATCCAATTGACAATCAGCTGCTCAGGCTAAATCAGGCTGTGCTGAAGATGACCAGGCTGTTTGCTGCAAGGAGGCAAATTGCTGGGAGGCAGAGGCAGATTTTTTTTTCTTGTTTTCCTCCTCAAAAGCTAGGCGTGTCTTATATTTTGAAGTGTCTTATAGTCTGAAAAATACGGTAGATCTCTTGTGAGAGCATAGTGACTCCAAACTGATGACGCATTTGACCCTGCCCTCAACCAGTTAATCTGGTTGTCTCCTACCATTGCTTAAACACTACAACAGGGATCAGTAATCCCATCGCTAATTACCCATCAGTTATTAAGTGAGACATCATATGTCTGCAATGGACTTACAGCCTCACTGCCACTGTAACTCTTAAGCAAATCACCCACACTCGTTAAGCAAGACATTTCATAACTGCTACTTGTGATTTTATTCCTGACTTTCCCATTGATTCTGCTTTTTGGAAGTCAGCTGTGAAATGTGAAAGTTGTGATTACCTGACTGTGGGAACAATGTAATAACTGTTAAATGAGAAGGCAAATCGTAAAGCACTAGCATAATTTCAAATAGTCTCTAAATTGAGCAACTGTTAACTGAGGTCTACCTGCATAGATTGCATCATGCCATATATCAATATTCCATTTCCTGTCTCTTTTCCTCATAAGGGCCCATACCCATAATAAAGCTAAAAATACTTGTTTTCACAACAGAAAGTTTCTTTACCTAATTACCACATCATAAGAATCAATTTTTTGACCCAGGTTCTTGTTTCGAAGGATTCCTCCATTGCCAACCACAATACATTTTTTACAGGATGAGCTGCTGAATGATAAGAACACATCTATTAAGCATCACACAATAAACATGTCTTTATAAACAGAAGGGCAACGTTAAATGTAATTCACTGAAAATATTATTACCATCAATGTTCATATTCAGATGCCCTGAAGATGAGGAAGGAAAGTGATACCCTCTAAACAAAGTGATACCCTCTAAACTTTAAGGATAGAAAATCAACCTGTGGCTGCAGATTAAGTCTATTGAATTTGAAATGGGTTTTTAAGCAGGAGATAAGAGCTCCACAACCAACATTATTCCTGACAGTTTCTCATTTGTAAGCACAGTTTCTGAAGCTATTTGATGCTTCCCTTGATAATATATGATGTATTTTGTATAATTCTCTGTGCATTTGTACTTATATTCAATGTGTCTATAAACATTTTGTACAGTTGTATATGTTCATATATATGCAGTCACACTTATCATTGTGTGCTCGTATACATACATTTTGTTGTGTTTTCCATTGACATATTCATAGATGCCTTGTATATTTGCATACATACAGTATATTTATATTTTACTGTTGTTTTGCACTTCTGGTTGGATGCTAACTACATTTCGTTGCCTGTATCCATGGCAACGACAATAAAGTTGAATCTAATCTAATCTAATCTATTTTTCCATTAAACTATGGCAAAAAGGAAATGGAAAAGAGATATAGGATACTTTGTTTGAGCCACATAAGATGTACAAAATCACAAGATCCATTTTATTTCCTTTTACTTTTTTGTTCATCTTGTACAATAAAGATGAAAGGTAAACATTTGTTACTTTTAAAACTACATTTTCATATCACTTAATTCATAGAGGGAGAAGCAGGAAATATTATATGAGAAAGACCACCAAAGAAAAAGAGGAATCTGCAGCTTTGGAAAGCCCCTTTGAGTGGTTTCCTAAGTAGTTTTCAATTATAATGTCATCATTTTAAGTTTCACTGATTATATCCGTGATGGTGAACCTATGGCACATGTGCCAGAGGTGGCATGCAGAGCCCTCTCTGTGAGCATGCAAGCTTTTGCCCCTGCTCAGCTCTTGTTTGTGGCCTGCCAGCTGCCAGTGGAGCTGTCTGCAGACTCAGACAGTGAGGAGGTTGGGGAGGAACTTGAGCAGTCCTGGAGTCTAGGGAAGGCTCTGATGGGTGCTCTGTGTCAAAGGCAGAGATGGGGCCAGGGCCATCCAACATTTATTAGTTGCCTTTAGAGTTGGAGATAAGTGGGGAAGAAGAACAGCTGGAGCCTGTTCCAGATGTGCATAAGCGCAGAGCTGTCAGGAGAAGGGAACAACTAAGGAGCAAGGGTCGACTCAGAAGAAAAGGCTCAAGTGGATGCTGAATGACCCCTCCCATAAGGAATAAATAGGAACAAAAGGGGAGTGGTGTTTGCAGGAGACAATTAGTTCATTTACTATGGTGAAGGTTTGCTTATCTGAGTTCGTGCCTCACAGAGACTCCTTGCCAGGTATTTCATTTTACAGCATTGTGACTGGAAGCTCTCGGCCTGGCAACTATCCAAGGGCTGATAAGGTCTATTTTTGCAAATAAACATTGGAAGGCTTATTGCTGGAACTTTTCTGGGTGTGAATACCAGGAATTCACATTAACCAAATAAAAAAGGTTTTTTTTCAGGAGGAGGAGTCTGTTTCGTGATTGTGTTAAGCCTGGGTCAGAACAGCCCTGCTGCGCATGTGCGCGCATGCCTCCTGCCAGCCAGCTAGTACTTGGGTCTCTGCTGCACATGCGCGGGGGACAGGGATGTGCGCGCATGCACATGGGACACATGTGTATTGCATTTTGGAAATGCGTGTGCACATGTGCTTTGGGCACTCGGTGCCAAAAAGGTTAGCCATCATTGGATTATACTATCAACTCAAGAACTGTCAAAAGTATCAGAACAATTAATGCTTCTGTTAATGAAAAGAAATTTGCAATTAAAATTCTATTAAGAAATACAAAAAGTACTATTATAGCATAAGATGCATAGATTTTCTTACAAAGCTCTGTAACATCAGACAAAAGATATAATCTTCACCTCTTATCTTCCAGGAACAGGTCACATCTTTCAAGTTGTGAAAGTGCACGTTGAAAAAACATTTCTGTAACACAAACTTTTTATTTAAAAAAAGAACCAGCATTCTATTGTTCCAACAAAATTTAGCATAATTGATTTGAGTATAATTTGTTGTTGTAAAACTAAAATGCAAAATCCAGAACAATTGATTTGAATATAATTTGTTGCTGTTATAAAAACTAAAGTGTATGCAGAACAGATTTCTATGCAGGAACTTTCTTTTGGATTTTTAGAGCTAACAAAAAATAAGGCCACCTAGGTACCTGCATGGACATGGCTTGCAAGCAGGATTTAAGTACTGCATTCAACAATCAGGAATGTTATCCTGAGGCAACTCTCATTGCATCATATAAAAGAAGCAGAATAATTTCTACTTACAAAGATATTTTAACTATATTCCTAAACACCTAATCACAATCAGACTAAACATATTCTAAACATTTTATCCCCTTCTCAATGAGTTTCAGCTGCTGCTCAAAGATACATTACGGAAGCATTTTGCTACAGAACAATAAGAACTGCACATAAGAAATATGTGTGAATTCTCAGCCTTGAGGTAATGGTCTTATTCAGATACATATGACTTATGCTCAGTATATAGCTAAAGGAAGGCCTTACCCAGTATTACAAATGAAGAGAGTACAAGAAAGCAGACCCTGCATCTTCTAATTTTACTGCCAAAGCAGTGGTGGTATTCAGCAGGTTCTGACCAGTTCTGGAGAACTGGTAGCGGAAATTTTGAGTAGTTCAGAGAACTGACAAATACCACCTCTGACTGCCACGGCCACCAAGCCATGCCCACAGAACCGGTAGTAAAAAAAATTGAATCCCACTACTGTGCCAAAGCATGTTGTTAATTTATGTTTCACTCAATCTCTATGTAACAACACTGCTGAAAACACGATACCACCGAATAAAAACAAAGTACACATCTTTCATAATTGAACCCTAGCTGTTTGCTGCTGGTATAGATATATGGCAGAGGTCCTTAACCTTTTTGGCAGCCAGCACCAGTTTCATGGAAGACAATTTATCCACTGACTGGGGGTGGGGAGTGGTCTTTCCCAAGTAGCATTAACATGCCAACACTTACTTACCTGAACGCCTCACTCCATAAGGTAGTTCAAACTTATTATTTCCACGACTTGCAGAGATATCATAAAAATTACTTTCGCACAAGAAAGGACAGAAATTATCCATCCTAAAGAGAATGGAAAAATACTTATTTATATTTATGTGGTTACTTTACACCTTTTTTCAGACTGCCTATTTCTCACCAACTAAACTCTTAATTTAATATAATTAAACAACCAAAAAAGGCAAGTACCTATTGCAATAGACAGACATAAAATGTAACGATATACTGAAATAACAACAACAAAACAGACACCTTTTTGAAAGGATTATTCCAGAAATCTGGGGTGAAAATTAAAAAGACAATTTCTCCGATATCCATATTCTCTAATGAAATGTGATAAGATAATCAGACATCTTACTAGGATCTCAGTATAATGAAGTATGCCCTCATGTGAACATTTGAAAGTACATATTTGAATTATCAGACCAAAGGAGATATATAGTCCTTAAAACAGAAAACAAAAGTTGGCTCCACTGCTAAAAGTGAAACCATCATAAAAAAATAGCTATTAATCAGAAACAAAGACTAAAACAAGAGATTTATTAAAGGAATTTATTAAAAACAAATCAATATAATTTCTGAAAGATAAATAAGCTGAGCTGGGACAGTTTACTAAAAGATTCATGCAAAATTTCCATTAAGCATAATTCAAAAGTTTCAGCATCTCTGGGTAAGAGTGAACAGGTTTCTGAAAAATCCTACTGAATCTTGTATCATAGATTCTATATGAAAATTCAGGATAGCATACTTTCAGTGCCCTATATTTTGTAGTCCTCTTTTCTCAGAAAGCGAGAGTCCAGAAGGACCAGTGAAAGGTCTATGAGAATCAACAGAATCACTCTTCATATCACTGACAAGAACTATTTTTGTCACCAAACCAGACATGAACTATGGAATGAATTCAAATAAACAATCTTTGAAATAACATTGTACTGAGAAGATACTGCCTCCTCTAAGAATTTGCTCAAAATAGTACACTAGATCCTAGGTAATACTTGTTCTGGTCAATTGGACAAATTAGGAATTCATTATTTCAACTTTCAAGACAAACGGATTCATGAATGAAGCAAATGAAATGCCTTACACCTGTAAGCAGATTGTCCACATGCTCAGATGCAATGTGAAATATATTTATAATAATCTAACCAGACCAGTTATTTTATCTCTGACGCTCAGATAACGTATATATACATATGTGCACACTTTTTAGTTGGTGTTGACTCATTATAACTGTCTATATCAGGGGTCTCCAACCTTTGCAACTTTAAGCCTGGAGGACTTCAACTCCCAGAATTACCCAGCCAGCTTTGCTGGGGCATTCTGGGAGTTGAAGTCCTCTATGTTTAAAGTTGCCAAGGTTGGAGATCCCTGGTCTAGATTAGTCTCTGCGGTTCTTGACAAGAGCACCAAGAAAGCAATAGCAAGTGATGCCTTTTTCCTAGAGGTCACATTCATAATTAATGAGGAACTAGAACACACTGTCCCTTGATTTCTAGTCTATATCTTAACTACTACACCAAACTAGTTTTCATACGTGGGGTACAATTATGTAATAGCTTTATTTCTGTAAACAGCTTTTAGAGCACTGTTGTTATATCAACAACTATGTTATTTTATTGTTGGAAAGTTGGTGACTTCCCAAAAATTTTAAAAAATGTTTTTTCAGAATAGGAAACACCTATGTAGTAAGCCACAATATAGCATTTTTCAAACAGTTTCCTAATTACTGCAAAGTAATATGGTAAGAAGTTCATGGAGGCTTCAATTTATATTAAGTAAATAACTACTACTTAAAGAAAAATATTTTCAATGAAAATAATGCTAAAATTGTGAACATGTGTTTATTTTATTTTTCAAAAGATGGAGTATTATTCCTTATTTCAATACAATTTAAATTTGCATTATGACAAAATAATATGCACAAAGATTTGGGATTAAGGGGTAGAATTAAGGGTACATCTGGTCATGCCTGGCTTCTTTAACCACTTAAGGAGTTGACCAAATGTATGCAATTGCCAGTATTTGTGGCTCTTTTTCAGGGTTAGCCCTTCAGTGTTTAGGGCATTTTTATCCTGCAAAATTCAGTTTGTAAATTCATAAAAATATTTAGAAACTTACATTTCATCAGACCTTTTAATGTACACATCATACACACACTTGAGGTGGCTAAATCATTTTTGTCACTGCTTATTTGTGTTTATTAGTTGCAAGGAATCCATATTTGAAATTGTATTTCTAAAAAGATTGTCTGTTCTCTCCCTCCGTCCCTCCCTGTTCATTCATTTTTTTAAAAAATACAATCCAATTATGTGTGTTATCCTCAAAATCTTCCATTTGCTACTTTCTTTCAACCAGAGTATTCCTTGTGTTGACACAATCCTGCAGGTTACCTCAGGCAGTTTCAGGTCACATGAGGCCTTTGTTTTTGAAATGGCTTTATAGGCTGCTCTTCTGCAGTCTCTAAAAACCATGCAGAACCTTGGCCCATTCAGCTCCAGAGGCTGCATGAGAACACATCCCATTCTCATGTAACCTTCACAGCCTCCAAAAGCTGTGGGAGAATGGGGCATGCTCTCAAGGATAGCTATTGGGTTTTGGTGAATACTGGCATATCACCCAAAATGTCATGGAGCGTCACCTTTGACATATGTATCATAGGTCGCCATCACTATACTAGATCAAGTATAGTTTGTCTAGGAGAACGCTTCCTATGTTATTCATTACAGAAAATAATTTCCATGAAACTAAACCGAACTTGCACAATATAACAACTCTGTGGACATATAAAAATAGTTTCCCAATAGCCTCTGGCATTTGGGGAGAGGCAAGATGGGCAGAATGCTAAAAGGAGAATTGTGACATAAATCCCACGCCTTCTTTGTACATCCTTACACGACACACATGTATGAAAGGAACAAAGCTTGCTGTGTGGAGCTCAATGCTGGTTTCATTCATTCTGATATAAATAACAAGTTTCTATAGATAGCTATACTGGCGGCATATGGCTTTAAAATGCTACTATTTTTCACAAGTGAAATCATGCATTGCTTTAGGACAGCATCCCCTCAGAAGAATATTAAGGAAGAATGCAAGCGTGAACAGTATTCATACATACAAGTCAACAATTTACATTTTGGAAAATGCAGGAACAAAGTTATCAATTACAAAAACAAACTAAAAATGCACTCCTACAGGTGAGAAAAATTTGCAGATGTAAAGACATTTATACTAGTAAAAGTCAAAAATTAAACCTAGCAGTTACATATTCAAACCTTGTTTCTAATGACAAAAAAGATTCTTGTAGCCATTTCTGAAGAAAATGAACTGGGAACATTCTTTGCCAATATTACATTGGTTCAGGTATGGCACAATTCAATTGATATTGATGCATCAACTTTTCCAGATTACAGTAATCTATACACCAGAGCAGTGGTCCCCAAACTTCTTCAATCATGCTGGCTGGGCTATTCTGGAAGTTGAAGTCCACAAGACTTAAAACTGCCAAGTTTTGAGATCCCCACTCTTGAGTTTTTAGTTGTTGTGCCTTTGGATAAATCTTGATTAGTATGCAATTGAATCTAAACTCTCTCTCGATCAATAAGTGTCATGGTTAGTACATCAATGTGGACAGTGCTGAACTCTTTCCTTCAGGGGAATGTAACCCTACCACTAACCTAAATAATCATTTCCATCACTTTCTTTTCTTACTCACGTCAGGAAAGTGGAAACATTGGTTTTGAAATTGCAATGTTTTCTGCTCAGAGAGGACAATCTAGAAAAAGAAGAAGAGACCATATTAAAATAGATTGACAGAAGGTGAAGATTCCATTTACGTAAAATCTGTTAAACTTTCTAATGCTTTTTAGAAATAGGTAATTCTATTCGTAAAATCTGAAGGGCAAATTGCCAGATACAAACAATACTACTTATTTCTCTCCAAGTATACCTAGCAATGATCTCAGTAGGAAAAAATATACTTCGAATTAATAAGCATAGAAGTTGAAAAGGATTTTAGAAATCATCTATTCCAATCTCCCTGCTCAGGATTTACTACAGCATCTCTGGTAGGTAACAATGCGGCCTCTATTTCAATATCTCTAGAGTTTTTATTTAAAAGTGCTTATTTAAAAGTATTTATTTATATACCACATAATCCAATGGTCCTAAAAGATTCAAAAATCAATTAGTCTACAACTGGAGCTATAATGTTTATTTATTATACTTGCCTGCTACTCATTCCTGGAGGCCCCAAGTGGCTAATGTCAAAAATCCCTCAAGTAAAAATAAAGTCACTCATAAAGGATAATTTAAAAGTCTCAACATCGTCAGATAGGACCAAGGAAAAATATATAAAATCATGGGTTCACCACTACATCCTAACATTCATAGCATGCCTTCTATCTGGCCAGGTGAAAAAGTTGGACTTAAAATGCTTCTTTGAAACCTGGGGAAAGGACAGATCCTAGACAGCTTCATTCATGAGCTGCTGAAGCTGTTGTGCAACCAGCTAAGAAAGGGAGGTTGAATGCTGGATGAAGATTGTCTAGCAATAGCTTATTGCAGAGGGGGACAAACCATACCTCTTCAAGAAGTGGAGAAGCAATCCCCTCTCTAAAGGAAGAATTTGCCACCACCAGAATTCAACTACATGTCACTTCCTGGGCATCCTTAGCTAGTCATGAGGGACATGGATCTAATGAGCAAGGGTTCACAATTATAAGGTACCTGTCCACCTCCTTAGGCACAACAGGTTCAAACTATTTCAAGATAAAATGGAAGTTTATGCCCAAGGCATCTCCTTAGGACCTGCCAAGAGTGACATCTACCTGGGAATGAATCCAAGTGATTTTGTCTTATAGATGCCTTGCAAATTTCTCTGCATATCTGTGTAGGTAAATCTCCTCACAAAAGAGGTTGCAAGGGTGCAATCCAGCTCAAAGCCTTGGCACCCTCTCATTGTATGTGATGACCAAGGCCAAGCCTCATTTGGACCATACAGCAGACCATCTGGAAAAAAAAAACCCAGCTCCCTCTGGAACACATCTGGGACCATAAGTCACCAAAGATGGACAGATTTAATAGGTCACACCACTCTATGGCAGGGTATCTCATGGTTACCAGGGAATATCCTAATCATAATAAATGAAGTTTTGCACAAATCCATCTTATATACTAGGTGCAGCTCAGTACGCTCATGTAACACTACTTTGGGAGATGCATTCTCTCTCTAAAGGCTTCTGGGTATAATTCAAGAGACTGGTTATCACCTATAAAATTCTTCTAAGCACAAGACTGGGTTATTTATGGAGCTTCCTGTTTCCAACTGCCTCTGTTGGTCCCAAAAGATCTGGCAGAATACTTGATGAGACCCATGTCACAGTGCTTCACCCATTTCCTCTGATTAACAGATTAACAGAGTTGGAAGGGACCTTGTAGGTCATCTAAGCCAACCCCCACCCAAGCGGACCAAACACCATTTTTGACAGATGGCAGTCCAGTCTCTTCTTGAAAGCTTCCAGTGATGAAGCTCCCACAATCTGTTCTATTGGCTGATTGCTCTGTCAGAAAATTTCTCCTTAATTCCAGATTGAACTTCTTGTTCAGTATTCACTATTCCTTGTCTGGCCTTCAGGTGCTTTGGAGAATAGCATGACCCCCTCTTCTCTGTGGCAGCCCCTCAAATATTGGAACACTGCTCCCCTGGTCCTTCTCTTCATGAGACTAGCCACACCCAGTTCCTGCAACTGTTCATCGTATATTTTAGCCTCCAGTCCCCTAACCACCTTGGTTCCTCTTCTCTGCACTTTTTTCGGTCTTAACATATTTTTATAGTGTGGTGACCAAAACTGGATGCAGCTGGGGTCTTACTAAGGCTTTATAGAGTGATATTAGTATAACTTGATCTTGATTGTATCCCTCTGGCTTTTTTGGCTGCCGCCACACATTGTTGATATTCAGATGGTCCCAATATGGCATTCCACAAGGCCCTGAAGACCTATTTTCAGGATCATTTGATCAGACCGTGGGATCACCCTACCTAGAAATAAAGATATTGAACAGAATATGCAATGCCCGGCCTTGTTATTGTTACTGTTTTTTTGTTCTGGACATTTATTGTGTTTTGTTTTTAATTCCCTTATTTTATAGTTGTAAGCCACCTGGAGTTGCTTTTACAAGCTGAGTAACTATATAAATCAAATAAAACATTATTCATCTCTAAAAGGTGTTCCTGTGAAAGTCAGGCACCTGAAAGAAGGAGGGAAATCTCTGAGTTGGTAAACAATATAGGAATTGTAAGGGAATGAAGTTGCTGTCTGCACTTGGTCAAAGCAGCTGCAGCAAGACAAAAAATGCTTCCCACTCCCAATTCACAAAGCTAAGCTCATGCTTCCCGCCCCCCAAAAAGTGCTGTAAATGTTTACAGCCTCCTGTCACAACACAGCAGGATATGGGTTCAATTCAGAGTTTACTTACAAGCATCCATGCTGGAGTGTTTCAGCTGCCTGGCATATTGAGACAAATCCTGGTGTTTCAGGGTCTTTTGGAGATCTGTAGGCAGTTTCACACTACACAGCCCCTCTAGCCTACCAAAGGCTCCTGGAAGGGGACAACTATCTATGAGCTTTGAAGCCCTCGAGTTACAATCACAATTGAGCCCAAAATTTATGTTACCAAGTGAAACATTTGTTAAGTGAATTTGCCCCAACTTTCCTTGCCCCAGTTGTTAAGTGAATCATTGCATTTGTTAAGCTAGTAACATGGTTCTTAAGTGATTCTGGATTCCCCATTGACTTGATTGTCGGATCACAAAAGCTGATCACATGACGCCAGAACATTGCAACCATCATGAATATGAACCACTTACCAAGCATCTGATTTCTGTAAGTGTGAAAAATGTTCATAAGTGATAAGTAACTTTGAACAGTTACTAAATGAACTGTTGTAAGTCAAGGACTACCTGTACTCAGCAGCAGAAGGGACCTATAATTATTTTAGCTCCACACCATTCTTCTTTAATTTTTTAACTACAGCTTTTTAATTTCCATTAACTTATTCACTAAATCACTTTAGTTTTCATTTCATTTGTATGTTCATTGCCTCCTAGTTCCCAAATCTACTGCTCATAAGTCACTGTGGCAAAACAACCAGGCACTTGCTGTTATTCAGGTGTAAGTCATGTCTAATTCTTCACAACTCCATAGCACGCCAGGCCCTCCCTCTCCTCCAATGTCTCCCAGAGTTTGCCCAAGTTCGTGATGATTTGTGTCAATGACACTCATCCTCAGGTTTCCCCTTTCCCTTATGCCTTCAATCTTTCCCAACATTGGGATCTTTTCCAATGTGTTCTCTCTTGTCATTAAATGATCAAAGTATTTGAGCTTCAGCGTCAGTATCTGTACTTCCAAAGAACAACCAGGGTTGATTTCCTTTAGCATTGATTGATTTGATTTCTTTTCGATCTAAGGGACTCGAGCCAAGAGCCTTCACCAACACCACAATTCAAAAGCATAAATTCTTCAGTGCTCAGCCTTCCTTACAGGCCAACTCTCATAGTCATACATTATTACTGGGAAAACCATAGCTTTGCCTGTATGGACCCTTGTCAGCAAGGTGATGACTCTGCTTTTTAATGTGCTGTCTAGATCTGCCACAGCTTTTCACCCAAGGAGCAAGCATCTTTTAATTTCATGGCTGCAAATTGCCATCTGCACTGATCTTGGAGTCCAAGAAAATAAAATCTGTTACTGCTTCTATTTCTTCCCTTTCTATTTGCTAGCAAGTGATGGAACCAGATGCCATGATCTTAGTTTTTTTTAATGTTTAGTTAGTTTCAAGCCAACTTTTGCACTTTCTTTTACCATCATTAAGAGGGTTTTTAGTTCCTCTTCACTTTCTGCCATTAAAGTGGTATCATCTGCATATCTGAGGTTGTTGTTATTTTTCCCAGCAATCTTAATTCCGGCTTGTGATTCTTCCAGCCCGGTATTTCGTATGATGTACTCTGCACATAAGTTAAATAAGCAGGGTGGCAATTTATGCCTTGTTGTACTTCATTCCTTATCTTGAACCAATCAGTTGCCCCATGTCCGGCTTCTTCACCTCCTTCTTGATCTGCAGTTAGGTCACCAGTTAATTCTGCACATGAGAAACATGAGAAGCTGCTTTCTAGCTCCTGAATGTCACAGGGATTGGAGAAGTCTTTCACATAGCTTAGCCACATGTACAAATTATCAGGACAAAGGAAAAGATAGCTGTTCTAATAATATATTGCCATACCCAAAGCTGTTGGTTGTCCACAGGTTGCTATGTAATACAGCATACATCACTCCAGCACCCAGGACAATCATGAATAATATTTGTTTCATGACCAGCATACCTGAAACATAAATATTAAATGAGGCTTTTATGTCTAAAAGTTCATTGTGAGCATGAGTCCAGTAGAAAAGAACTCTTAATTTATACTATTCACTAGTTATTTACTGGATGACTAATTCCTTTATCAGGCTTTCAAACATAAGCAGATAACTTCTAACTCTATAGGGCTTCTATATATAATGGTATTTATTAATTCTCTGATTATGACTATGATGTGCCATTAGTTATACTTACTCAGGAGAATTTAAATCAAACATTTTTTTAAAAATGCATTTTCTCATGGTAGGGAAAGTATGACCCTGAACATACTGGTGATCTATTATGTATTTTTTCAAGTTCCAAATTTTGTATTTTGCTAAGAGAAAATTAACTCACTCTTTCCCCAAAGATATACAACATAATCCTCTTTTTGATGCATACTTGTAAGGGTTTAATAAATATGTACATACAAAATATTTGTCAACTTCAAACCGAACCTGGCAGTAGCCATTTTTCTGTTCCTCAGTTACCACACAGAGTGGGGAAGGAGGTTGGAATGCCTTACTAGACACAACAGAGAACTTTCTCTTGAGAACCAAGGTAATCTCTACTGACAATGAATAAGGTTGGGGAAGGAGTGCCTGGAGGGCTAGCCAATTAACCCAATTGGCCAATGTGACCTATGACACTTGGGGATGGGATTATCTCCAATTTTAATTATACTGAAACAAGAAAGATTTACATCAGTTCCAATGCTTGGTACATTCTGTGATCATGTGATTGCCACGATTTGGTTAATAACTATAACCAGAATTGCCAGATCTGTTTTCTTAAATTAGCATGTGATATTTTTTTTATTTACAACCACATCATGGCCTTGATCATTAACCGAGGAGTACCTGAATAAAGAACTTAGTGAGGGATCGTATATTATATTATATTTGTATTGCCATAAGTGGATCTCCACTCTCTAAAGAAACAATATGAAATGTTCTTGGATAAATAATGAAAGAAAAATATTAATTTAACTAGCTTGTGCTTGTGCAATATAACATGTCTCATTTAATAGAACATTTGTACAGTTGTGTCTCAGATAATAGAAAATGAACAGAAAATGTGTATAGTTGTTGACTACACAAATACTGAGAAAGTTCTGGGGGCTTTTTCTTTTTGAAAGAGCAGGAAATGTAGAGAGAAAAATAAACTACAAGCATGACAATAATATGCAGATACTACCATTATCCCAATCAAGATTTGAATAATGGAAAGGTATTGGTATCAGTACTGAGAATGCTAGAATAGACTAAGAGGATTAAAAGCAGAACAGCTTATCCTAGAAACTGGCAATAGAAAGAAAGAAAGAAACACAAGATATGATCTGTACATATATGTCCAAATAAAAGGAGAAACTAAAGTTGAAGCAGAGGCTAAAAGGGAACAGGTTTTTTTTGTTTTCTTTTGTTTAAGGCTTGGGGGATGGGGGAAAGACTACAAACTACTTAAAATGGGAAGGAAACTTTAGTACTGTAAAGGTACTAGAATATGTCCCAGGCATTAATTAGCTAAAAAAACAAAAACAGAAAATGCTAATACTGCTCTTTCTGTATCTCAAACAATGAAAATACATGTAATATTACCACTTTTACCAGTTTTCTATATTCAGATGGGGAAACTGAATACCCACCTCCAAAGACTGTTGCGCTGTGTCTAGGCCTAAACCTTTTTTTGCATCACACCACTCACTTCCTGTCTGTTTGTCTAACAGCATATTACCATTCATGTATTTCATTTTTTTGTTAATGTTGTAGCCAATTCACATATAGTAAGTAGAATACGACCCAGGCGTTCAATATACACTATGTACAATCTTTTTTCCCTTCCATTGACACTATGTTCATCAGGCTCCAGAAAACAGCAATAATTGTGTGTAAGCATGCAGAGTTTTTGTATGCCTGAGTCTGCATTTTCTTTAGTTTTATTCACATTTCAGCTATGGAATTTGAATCAAAATCACAATATCAGTTTTCCTGTGTTTTATAGTCATGAAAGAAATCCTATTATCACCCCATCAGTATTCTAATGCTGGATGAAGCTGGCATTATTTAATAGCCACATTTGTAAGTTGAGCTGTAGTAAAATAGTGTTTCAACATTATATTCTAAGTAGATTGATAATAGCTTAAAATATCTTCCAATTTCCAATTAATTGTCCAGAGTCACTTTTCTGAGATGGGTAGCCATATATATTGGATAATAAATAAAATCTAAAAGCATACTGAAGTAACTTTTTTTCTTTAAAAGTATTCATTTTGGAGAACTAAAAACAGAAGTGTTGAACTAGTTTCTAAACTGGATGTTTGAAGTTCCTGAAATTCCTAGTGTTCTGCAAAATAATAATAATAATAATAATAATAATAATAATAATAATAATAATAATAATAATAATAATAATAATAATAAAGGTAAAATCAGAAGTATGTAACATTCTCATATAGTTATTTGCAATCACTGGGGTGTTTTGAGAAAGGAACAGAAAAAGTGCTACAAAGATTCTCACTAAAACTGAACTAGTCCCCCATTGGGAAAAATTTATTCGGCGATACCCAGATCTGTATTATCCAGTGTGTGGAATTTCAACTCCCAAAATAATGACATCATTTAGATACCCTATTATTTTGCTGTAATTAATATTGCATAATATTGAACAATAAAACGCCTACAGTTTTGGCATCTTTATAAAGGAGGCACCAATACAACACCACAATCATTTTTATGTTTAAAAGCAGCACAATTTCCATTTCCCATGATTGTTTGTAGCAACACTGAAGTTATTTCTTAACCCTGGACCGATTTATTTATTTCAAATGCTTTTAATCTACATTTTAAGAATAAAAGTCTTCCAAAATAACCACACCAAAATAATGTTATGCATTATATATTATAGCTCATTTATACATATACATAGATATACATATATGCACACACACACACTATATATATATATATATATGTGTGTGTGTGTGTGTGTGTGTGTTCGGATCTTTTTCCATGTAAGATTAAGACTATCTTGGCGACGTTTCAGCGAGGTCCCACTCACCATCCTCAGGCTGGTGCTTTCAGCTTCGTGCCAATGCAAGCAGTGGGGTTTTGTGGTGTAAC